AATATGAAATAGTACTGAACGCCGGATGTAAAGCATCGGCTTCGATGAAGATAATTTTGTGAGAATTTTTTTTGATAATTCGGTGAGAATTCACCCGATTAGACATATGATGCTCACTACGTGCTCTTGCGTGCCGAAGCCTATCAATTAAAACGTATTAGCGTTTTATATAATATAGATTAGCCATATGATGCTCACTACGTGCTTTTGCACGCCGAATCCTATCAATTAAAAATGAAAACTGTTGCCAACGCGAGAAAAGAAATATCATCGGTTTTATTGATACATACGTATTAGCGTTTTATATAATATAGATATTTTGATCAGCAGATCGTGACAATATACCCGAAGAGCCATTACATTATGACCACCCTGCTAATAACATGTAGGACCACCTTTAGCCCTCAAAACTGCTAGCACCCGCCATGGCATTGATGCCACAAGGTGATGATAGGTGATCTGAGGTATCTGGTACCAAGCGCTCACCAACTGGTCCTGCAATTCCCTCACATTGCGAGGGGATAGCGTGGCAGCACGAATTTGGTTTTCCAAGTAGGATCACAAATGCTCTATTATATTTAGGTCAGGTGAATTTGGGGGCCAAGACGTGACTTGAAAGTCCCTGGAATGTTCCTCGAACCAATCCATGAGGATTCGACCCTTATGACATGGTGCATTATCCTGTTGGTAAACAGCATCCCCTGCAGGAAAAACTGTTGCCATGAATGGGTGAACCTGGTCTGCAACTATGTTCATGTAGCTTACAGACGTCAGGGATTGTTCTATGAGGATTATGGGTCCTAATGTGCCTCATGAAAGCATTGTTCCTGGGCGAGAAACCATGAAAACCTGGGCGAGCCCATTGTTATAGATGGAGGGTGGTCATAATGTAATGGCTCTTCGGTGTATATTGCTATTATAATTAGGCAACAAGCATGTCATTTCATTTTTCAATTTCGAACATTGGGAGAGTATGAATTTTCACAGATGAAAGTTCAAAAGTTCATCGTTTTATTAATCTCAAGTGAGGTTTAGCTTAGCCCTTTAAGCTGTTTTTTGAAGGTTCCGTCGTAACATGGAATGTTGCCTTTTTGCGAATTATATGCTATTTTTATTACTATTGTGAATTTGTAACTGTTACCCATGACTGTTGGGTCAAGTTTAGCTAATCTATAGCCAGCGCTGTCAGTGGTAATTTTAAAAATCGCTTAAAACGTCAATGTGGAGAAAAGTCACACTTTTGTGAAAATGATGTTTGCGGATATTTTGGAGGAAATAACGATATCGTTTATGCGGTCTGATCAAAAAAGGTAGGCGTTACCGTATTTTTAAATTAGGGTAATGCCCACCATTACATTAAAATTAGGAAAACTTACGCTATTGGATGCTTGATTGAGATCAACTTGCCTTAAAGCCTTGTAAACTATGAACCAGTCCATTTCTGTTCCGGGATTGGATATAGAGCAAACCATGAAAGCGGTGTGTCCAGCCTAAAGAATAAGGAAGTAAATAATGCTGATTCTAAAAATATGTCATTCAATAAACAAAATAGTTTCTGTAAATCTTCTTGCTATGGATTTGGAAGAAAAATAAAGTGTTACTAAATCCTTAAACTTTAAGCAGAAAATCTTATCGTCTCATGTATTTTTCCAACACTTTAGCTGTGGGAAATATAATAATTCAAAGACACTTTAAAAACAATATGAAAGCATTCAAAAGTACTGTTGGTCTTTAACTTATGCATTAAGAAATTAAAAAAAAATATATATGTAAAAACACTAAATACTGAAGGATTCACGAATTAGCATTAGTATTCATAAGAGCAAAGTGGATTGAAACTTTATGAAACCAGTTTATTTAAGAACGTTCCTGACGAGAAACGGAAGCATTCTAGCTTCAATAAGGAAACAAACTGATTTTTGAATGTCTTTACCCCGCCTCTACTCTACGATCCCGACTGTAATAAGATTTTTAAAGGTTTTAAAATGTTTCCGTTTTTATCCCTTGACTTTCGAGCATATATATATATATATATCTTACATAGAACACATCATACAGCAAGAGTCACGCAAAAACTGTTGTTCCTGCATTAAATACTAACAAACAAGGAGGTAAAAAGGCTCAGTAGTTGCATACCTTGTAACTCTACGCATCATCGATAATCATTTGATGCTTCCTAATATGGAAGCGAAAGATTTTAAAATAACTCCTCCTTTGAAGTATAAATCTAATTATACTTCATTGGTATGGTATGTTTTCAGCCTTGAAGTCCCAAAATAGAATATCTCTATACCTATTCTTTACCAAAGACATTTTACGAAAACGAAAGAATTTTAATGCTTTTATTAATACAAAAGTATTTTTAAAATTTTTGTATTATATATATATATATATATATATATCGCTTGGACATTAAATGGATAAAAACGAAAGCATTTTAAAATTTTAGTTCTGCTATTGTGAAACACATTATAAGTAACCGGTAATCTTATCACACAAGCTATTTAGGTTTGAATGATATGGACAATGCTATGAATGATACGGATTTGTATCTTACTTATCATATTCCTTTACCATTTCTTTAGTGGAAAGCGAATCAAAAAGCTATTGCCTTGAATTAACCGTGAAAGAGGAAACTGAAGGTATCACGGCATCCATACCAAACAGAATTCCTGGCAATGTTTAAGTAATTAATTTAATTTTCTGATTTCCTTTCATAACTTCTTTTACAAAAGAGTTTTTTTCTCATTATAATTAGAATATATATTTTTTAAATTATTTTTTTTTTATTTCCAATGAGCTGCACAATCGGTCTTGCCGGTGAGCAGACCTAGTACGTTCTCCATAGGTGGTATCCACTCTTTCAGGACCACCACAATGGGTGAGATACCGTTGGTCATGTTAATTTGGACGTCTAGTTTCTGCCACACTAGATGGCAGCACCGAGACTCTATTTGGATGCTAAAGTGCACTAGGAATTTAATTTTGCCGGGAATGCCAAGTGCCAATAAGGCACTCCAGGGGTCTTTTACATGCCGCATAATCATACGACATGGCCGCTGAGGATTTTCTGCATCCCGAAAATCCGGTGTCTGGGCCGGGGATCGAACCCGCAGACTTGGGCTCAGAAAGCCGACGACAAACCAACTGCGCCACCCAGCCACTAGAATATATTTTGATTTTTTTAAACTGGTAGGTTGGTAGAAAGGTTAAGAAGTATTATACTTAAGGCTGGAATACTCAGAAAATTGTTTAATTTAATAAAGTTTTAATCTTAAATTTGTTTCACTAATATATCGCAATTTTTTTTATAATTTTTCATTGAAACATTTGCACATAATGAATAACTTATGCTCGCTTTCAACATTGGGAGTCCATTACACTACTTTTCGAGGAGCTGAAAAATAAAGCTTAATCGTATCGTATACCGTATTTATTTAAACTTTTGGCCCGCCGCAGATGCTTCTAAATTTGATAGCAAATTTTCTATGTAATTTTGAAAATTTATACAAACCTTATTTTTCATTGTGAGCAAATCTTTCGCATAACCATTCGTAAGAAACAACTCTGCAATATCAAATCTGTTGTTACTAAATGCAAAATGAAGCACATTATTTCCCTGAAAAATCAAAACGGTACCATGTCTTGAACAATCCAAATATATANTCTATATTTTTTGAATGATAACTTTTTTAAAAGATCTTGTTCCATTTTTGTCCTTAAAGGTATCCCTTTTTTTAAAAAAATTCTTTTTGTCATAAATAAGTAAATCAAAGGTTACTTGGTACGGAAAAGATTGGTACTTTGGTACTTTGTCTTACAAATGTGATTATTAGCCTCAAAAGCAGGTCTTTTTTAAAGAAGGAATCAAGCTTTAACTTTTTTTTTTACTATGATTTTTGATTACTATGATTTCACAAGTAATTTTTTTTATCAATAGATTTATTTTATCGAAATTAAATCTAGTAATTTTTATTCAATCTAATTAATTTATCTAAATTAATCAAGTAATATTTATTTTAATTAAACAATATAAATTAATTATTCTAATTCGATCAATCTAATAATTAAATTAATCTAGTCATTTTTTCTTATCGAAATAACTATATTTCTGAAAGATTTTGTTACAATTTTTCCAATTCTTTTTACCATTTATGACTTATAAAATTTCTATGAAATATATGTTTTTCACATAATTAAATGTCTCAACTTTCCTTTTAGGAGTATCATAATCAATAATGATGCAAAAAGTAATGTCAAATACAATTAATATTTAATGAAAAAATAAGATATTTACCGTGATATCTGTTGTGCATACCATCATTTTAAGAAGATTGTCAGAAAATGCTTGAAAATACGACATTAAAAAACTGATCACTTCTGTGTTAGCTTTTTTGTTACTCACTTCCTTCAACCATTGGCGTCTAAGAAATCTCACAGATGTTTTCTGCAAAAAGATATCAGAGAATTTTGAACTTTTATAAGTTCCTTAATTTCTCCTAATATTAATTATGCAGCTGTTTTCTTATAAGGTGAACTTTATCAAAGCTGACTACACGTGAATTATTTTTTCGATTTATTATTATATTGTCTTCCGCGGAAAAATCCAAGGAAAATTCCATGCGTCGTAACAGTTGACAAATTTCAGAAGTAGGAGGTTTAAGATAATAAATTTCAGAAAACACAATTCTAATTTTTGTTTTTAAAGAAAATAAGTTATCCTGTTTCAAATACAGTACAGCAGAGAGCAGAATATACGGACAAATTGGAACTAAAGCGAATTCGGATATCGAAAAATCCGGATAATTGGATAACTTTAAATAACAAAGAATATTTGTAAATACCTTTCTTTGACACTTTTCCCAGACTTAGGATTGGCAATTGAAGTAGTGCCTATTATAGCATAAGACGAATGCCGTGTTTAAAGGTTTTAGTTTCGTAAAATTTTCTTAAAAACCTGTACCCTTGTTAGAAACTATTTGCTATCCACATTGAAACTAGAGAGGAAAAACGCGAGGTACTTTTCAAGCTCACCTTAGGGCAAAAGACGCCATTTTTAGACACCTTTCTGATATCCTGAAAATATAAAGCATTTCCGTGATTTTTATTAATTAATTAATTTATATTATTTTTTTTGGAAGAAGGTAGGAAAAACACATGATTCTTGAACGATCCGGATAATTAGACAATCCGGTAAATCAGCGTTCGGATGATCGGTGCTCAACTGTATTATAACTTGAGGCTGAACTTTAAAATGAACTTTATGATGAACTCTTAAAAGATAATTTGATGATGAACTTATGAACTTTTTCTAACAGAATTTTCTTTTTCTTTTTTTAATTACAGTAAAAACAAATTATAAACATATTTTGAATGAATTATAAACAAACTATAAATAATTTTTGTCAGCTAATAACCAGCTTAGTAAATTTTTTAATGAGTTGTGCTTTTTCGCTCACATTTCAATTCTTAAACACGAAATATAATTATTTATCGAGAAAAAAAATCTTTTCATTTATTATTTGATGCTATTCAAACAAAATCAAACACTGAATCTTTCTTCATTTTAAGCACTAACTTAGCGTGGACGAAACTTTAACTCAAAATCTCAGATTATAATTATTTATTTCAAAAATAAACAACAGTTCTGGGAACGTGCAATTACGTTAAAGTGAATGTTACATTAATGTGCACACGTTTCTGCAGTGACATGGGCCGTAATCAGTATTTCCGTTTTTTTTAAAAATAAGTTTGAACTTTAACTTATTTCTTTTCCAAAACTTGTTTGTTTTTCTTAAGTACAGTTCAAGTCACCCTATACTTTTTTATTATTCACATTTCCTTCCAAAAGTTTTTAACTTAGCTTAAATAAGTTAATTTATCTAAGTAGGGTGAATATTTTTATAAGAAGAAAAATCATCAAAAAAATATTTGAAATAGATAACAATCTGAATAACACTTCTGAAATAAATTGTTTATTACTAGAAGGCTCGGCTCACTTTGCTCAAAAACACCCATTAATTCTGTTTTGTTTCCCATTTGTTTCTTGACTATAAACTGGTTGATTCATTAAAACTTTTCCATCAAACGGTCCCAAAATTGTTTTAGTATCTTAATGCGAATTTAATAGTAGATCTCTTACACCAGTAAGAGTTGGTTTACGCAAAGTGAAAGTCAAATGACAGATTTTATTCCAAGCACCGGTAGACTTTATTCCAGCGATTTAGATGAGGAATGCAATAAGCATGAAAATCCTCGTCAAAAGAATTGCTTTTTTTTCAACTTATGAAAAAGTGAACTCTTCCGCTCTACTTTCCCGCCAACTCATGTTGTTTGACATACACGTTTCCGAATTCAAATGTGAAAATATTTCAGCTTTATCATTTTGCCCTGTTACAGTCATAAGATCATACACAAACTTATTTTATGAAATTATTATTTAATTTTAGGTGATAATAAAAACTCGTTAAATGTTTATCCCAAAGAACATTAGTACGAAAGTTAATTTCTGTCTTTGCTTCTTGATTTCAAGTAGTTTTGTATTCATTACTTTCATTACATGTATTGACTTTCCTAAAATTTATTCTAAAATTAATGCAACTCCTTAAAAAGTAAATAAAACTTATTTTCCATTTGTTAACAGTAGAAACGTAATTGCATGTTTGTATCATAAAATATTGCGTAATAAAATAATATGCGATGGCATTGAAATCTAATAAACGAATACCTTTTTTTAATTTTAAGCCTTTAATTCTGAATAACGGTCAAAATCAAACATATAAAAATAACAGAGAATGTTATTACAATGGGATGATATATAAATATTGCTGGTAAATACCGTTGTAACTATTATTGGTTTTATGTTGACGACGTTCAAAGATATCTTGATCTTTTTGTGTTCGTCATGAAATTCAAACAATTTTCACTGGTAGCTGCGCATACTATCAAAATATTTGTATGTATAGTTGATTAAATGGCTAAAATCGTTTTATCTGTTATTGGAGCAAATATTTTTTTAGTAGAGTAGTTTGTTTTAGATACAGTAAGTAATCATTCAAATGCTCTAAAATTTAAAAGAAAAATAATTTTGAAATAAAAAATCTATAAATAAAAATAGAAAGTGGAGTTCGTCGATCTGGCATGTGCAATAATTCTATTTACAAGGTTCCTGCGCTTTGCAGGAATTCAGATTTTTTATAAAAATAGAAATATATAAATTAATTTATAGAAGCAAAACAAATTGAGACTTTACCAATTCATTTGGATCAGAGCTACCCATATTCAATAAATAATTATTTACTAAGATGCAATGTTCCTCCATGAAATCATCTTTCAATCTAGAAGCAAAATAACGATTAGTTTCAAGTATAGTTTACAGAAATTTTTAATGATCGATGAAATTTTTTTATTATTTTTATATGTTTCGTCATTCTTCATAAACACTTAAAGAAATTTGCTTAGGAAGACTATCGATTCATTTTATTATTATATATATAATGGAATACTACTTATATTCACCTTAAGTGATTTTTCCGTTAAGATGAAATTGCAAAAAAACTAATAAATCTTCATCATTTTCGGAGAATACTCTATTAAATGGCAATGTCTTTTTCTCAGATTAGAGCATTATTAGTCATGAAATATATTTTGTTGCTTTGATTATTTTAGCTGATTTTTACTGAAGTAGTCATTTTGGCATTAATTGAAATGTATTTCGGACTAAAGAAAAAGAACCATACATATCTCTTCAAAGCCATAAAAAAAGAGATAAAAATAAAATACGGACATTTTATCCCATTTTTCTTTTAACATGACATGACATCTCTTGCGTGTACTTAATTTTTTTTTATTTACTATTTACTGTTTGCAAATTAAAACTTTGCTATAAGTTTGGATAAGCCTAATTTTTTACTATATTAGTTTCTAACTGATTGCGTTTAGGTTGCAAACAAATTTTTTTACGAAGAGAAAGCTGCATATTGGTTTAGATAATTCTGCTAACGGATTTTTTATAAACAAGAATTTTCGACAAACTTGGGCAAAACTTTTTTAAGTATTCCTTTGCTATGCAGTTGAACAACAGTTTGGAGAAGATTGAAAGAACAAAAAAAATTATTTACTAAATAATAATTTATGGTCAAAACATTAAAATATTTACCATTTACCTCTTGGCCAGTGACAACACGATCATATCTTTATCTTCAGGAGTGGATTCTTTGTTTTCAAAGTGACTTTCTTCTAGTAAATTCAATTCACTACCAAATTTTATTTTTGAACTACAATTGTTAGAACTTTCATTTGAGTTATCCTTTTTTATGTTAGCTTCCACAGTTTTCTGAACTAATTCGAAACAGGAATCGCAGAGGGGAAGACATGTTCTACTTTTGTTTGGTGGCATAACTCCAAATTTTCGGTAAAACATAATACTTGGTGCAGTATTAGTATTAAAACAGCAACCTTCCTGAAATATCAGAAAAGATGTAAAAAGATGGTAATAAAATTATTTTGCCGAAACATGACACCAGGTAAGCATACCGTTTGAGAGAAAATTGTATGAAAGAACAGTGCACTTTGAAAAGAAAATTATATACTAAGTCCAGCATTCTTCAGTTGAATTTAATCTTGATACTGTTCTTTTTACTCTAAAAGTATTATAAAAGAACATTTAGAGATTAAAGTATTATATGGCATGGGGTGAAGACAATCGCGTTAAAAACAATCATCCAGCTCTCACGACTACGGCTACAATTTCTAAATTTTAAGCGGTAACGCCCACTCTTTGTTTCATTGAAGCTCTATTCTCACAGTAAAAAACTTAAAGTTGTAATGCTATTTTTAGAATGAAAAATAATGGCGGTTAAGCAGAGATGACGAAAAGAATATTTTAAAAATGTCAGCAAGTCAGTGATTCAGCTGTATCAAACGCGGGCTGAAACCTAGTGTAAGGAAAACGAAAGCACAGAGATTTGTATGGTACATTTTTATCTCTTTCTTCTTTTGCCACCATGAACAGCTAGTCAACTTTTCATTTTGTAGCGCTGCTAAGTTAACTGTTAACCGAGCTAAAAACCAAAACGTACATATTTTCCGCAGAAAGACCTTCATATTTGCTCTAAATATAAAAAATACTGGTTCTGAAGTACGCGAAGAGGTTTATCATTTCTCAAATATACTCAAAGCTTGTTACGTCATAGAACCGCTTGAACCTCTTTCTGGGTTTAGATATCTCCTCAATATGAGACAAACATAAACATCGAGGCTCCACCTCGTTCTAATTGTTTATTTTAGCTAAAAATATGGTTCCACCAACATATTAAGTTTTTTATTGAATGGATCATTTTTCTACGAAGCAAAAAGTAGATGTTACCATTTGAAATTTTGCGAATGTAACCTTAAGCATGAGTGCCAGACACATTATCTTAGTACAAAATTACATTCTATTCTTTCGAACGGCATGTTCCCCAGGAGTTAGACGTTGACAGAGTTATTTCGTAATCACCCTTTTATACTTCAATAGCCATTTAAAAATTGACCAATACAAATAAAAGTAGCAAATACTAACAAATGGTGAACTGTGAGGACTTATCTCTTCATACTGGGTAAAATCATTAATATTTTCTTCTTCCGAATTAAACTTTCTTTGTATCATTGTCTGTCTTTTCAAACCAGCTTCTCTTAGAACTTCCAAACAAACGCAGCTCGTTATGGTTTCCTTTTTAAGTTCAAATGGTTCGAGACTTTGATTGGATGGATATTGCAAAATGACTTCGGTAAGTAATACTGGATTTACTGAAGCTCTTTGAGGAGATTGAATTTTGAAGAGCTTAGACCTAAGAAAGTGTCTGAAATATATTGGAAGTTTTAAAGTAGGGCATATTCTTCTACTACGCAACTTTGAGAAACATAATGTCAGCACTTCAACGGATGACTCCGTTTGCCAGGGTGGGGAGGAAAAAGTAATTTTGGCAGAATCTACTGGATAGCTTTTCTTAACTATGTAAGCATTGTGAAAATTTAGTTCTTCGATTGGTTGTAGAACTTCAAAGTCTGGTTCGTCTTCGAGGAATCTATTTTTGATTGCTCTTGAAGTTGTTTTTTCGAAAGAAGATTGTGGAGGTTCTTTGTAACGTTTGCTTTTAGCTTCACCTAAAATGAAAAGCAAGTTTAAATTTAAAATCGTCAAATATCGTATTCAACACTAAGGGTAATCTATATTCTTTTAGGGAGGTACTGGTAAACTTTTGGGTATTTAAGGGGTGTTGAAGAATTCTACAGGATCGTTAACAAATAATAGATGAAATCAGTACTAAGCACGCTTTAAAATGTATGAATTTTTGGGGCTTTTTTTTTAATCAAGGAATTATTTGCATTTATAATTCGGATTGTAATATTTGTTATTAAAATTGCCTTTTAAAAATGCATCTAACGCTCACAATAAATTACTTTAATACTCACTTTACAATTTTAACGTTATAGGTATATCACACGATGAAAGATACCGGCAACGAAACTGGAAAGTGAATTGTAGGCGCAATCGTATTTTACACTTCACAAAAAAAAATTGCACGAAAATGCTCGCGTGATATAGAAATCGCAGTTTCCCGAAATATCCTCAACTTTTTCTCTCCGCTGAAAAAAATATTTAATACAATTAATAACAACTGAGACTTGGACCAATCAGATCGTTTGCATTTTATGACTTTTCAATTCTATGTGAGATGATGAGGACGTTTACAAATGCAAATAAATATGGCGGCAACTGGGATAAGGAACATGATCGAACTAAATTTTTCATTAATGAAATAAATCAGTTTTGGAGTGTAAAAATAACATTTCTCTTTGATTTTGAGCATTAAAAATACTTTTGTTTAATAAGATGGAAAACTCGATGCAGTTGATGCATCATAACAGCAACCTGCACATAACTTTAGTGGCGGTAAGTGTAGTAAACTATTTTCTAGTAAAAGTTTCTTTTTGGAATATTTATCAATCTTAAACTAATAATATTGAAACTTATTATAATTTGCTCCAATCAAGACGAGGTGGCTCAGGAGATAGAACCGGGTTCGAATCCCAGCGGCGGCTGGTCAATACGAATATCGCACCCAGCTTGCACCAACCACTGTGCTAACGTAAAATATCCTCAATGGGACACGGATCATGGGTTAGAGTCCTCTTGCCGTCAGGCTAAACCTGTAAGTTTTCGTGGTTTCCTCTTCATGTAATGCAAATGGTGGTTAGTTTCATCAAAAAGTTTTTCATGACAGAAAATATCCCCCAATACTTGATTCAGGAGTTTACTTGTCTTCTGGATTCTGTTCAAAATTAAAAGGTTACGGAGTTAAACATTAGTAGTCGTAAATCCGAAAATTGGGGCAGCTGTTCAACGATGGTTATAAAATAAAATTTGTCCCAATCGAAACTTTGACTTTTGATAGAAATAATATCTATTTTTACATAGACGGTTAACTTTTCTGACGAGAATCTTCATATTAAAATATTCGCCTAGCAACTATAATATATGTTGCATTATAAAATATAAAGATTAGATAAAAACGGATATCAATCAATATTATACGACGCCTATGATTTCCTTTTCCACTCTTTACGGACAGCGTTGAGAAACTATGGGATAATAGCATCAGACGAAAAATATAAATAATATTAGCCAAAACATTAAGACAAATAACAAAAAATTCTAACCCCTTACGAAAACTGTTCGGACAATTAAGCAACCGTAATGGCAACTCCGAACCGAACCACAAAATTGCCTTTGGAGTTGAGGAAAGAGCGAGGTTAAGCTTACGATTGCTCATATTTTTCTCTAGTGTGATATCCTTATTAAACAGCACCATGATCTTTGCATGAATTTGAAACTTTTTTGGCCCTTGTGGTTTTCCTAAATCTCGCCGAAGAGATACAGTCTTTAGCTTAATTAAACATTCATTTATTGAAATTATTATTATTTGAGGATTTTAAATTATTTAAAATTTTGCTCAATTTTCTTTTACTTTAAACTTTTTTGTATATAAAATAAATTTTTTGTAATACATTTTTTGGTTATTATATTTGTATTATTTTGTGTTACGTTTCGTTGTCCAAGTTAAATGAAAATTGAGTTAATCATGTCGACGAAATAACAGTCGGCTAAATGAGCTGTCAGCGCGTCTAAATGTTCATGTCGGTGATGCGAGTTGTCGATGATCTGAACTGTCGGTGTCGACGATATGAGAACGATCCTCATTAAGACTATTTCGAAGTTTATAAACACTTTTACAATTAATCCTTTCTTTTATCTAAAAAAATTAAAACAAAACATATTTTATAAATTTTGACGCACAACTTGTTAACATAGTTTTACCTTTCCTCTGTTCCAGTCGCGATTCGAAATAAAGGCTAACTTTTTCTTCTTCTGTATTTTCAGCATGAAACACTTCATCAACTTCTGAGTCAGGTGAAAAACCAAATGAGCTGTACCTATCTTGATCTTCGTCTTTGCTTCCATCCTGCGAGACAATATTCTTAAAGATGATGCTATCTTCCAACACTTTATCAAACCCCTTTCTATCAAAATATTCTTTAATTTTCAAGGATTCATTCTGCGCTACCATCCAGCCCCCATTTTCTACATTTACATGTGATTTTGAGATTGTCAACGGACCATCAAAAAGCTGACTGATGGATTTGATGTTTACAGATAATTCAATATCTTCTGTTTGTGTTCCAATTTCTCGGACAATGCACTTGCTAAAAACAGCTTCATCCTGAACTAAATAAAAACTAATTAAACGTTGTAATTTAGCTGAAGTGTCTGGAACTGAACAACAATTATGTTTGCAAAAGTTCAAAATAATTTTTTCATCATGCTTCTGTGGCTCTGAATTTTCGCCAAGGATCTTTTTATCGCCAATGATGTCACACTGCGTCTCTTTGGAACAAAAGTTATTATCTGTCTGTGTTGAAACTGATATAAATACTGATGTATTGAACTCTTGAAGGATTTTTTGCGTTTCACAGGAGGCTTCATCGCCACTTCCAAACGAAAATAAATTATTATTACTAAATATTTCTTTGTTAATTTCTTTTTCTTTAGCTTGAAGTGTGGCGGATATCGGACTAATTAAATCGCTACTTCCATCTGGATCCTCATCAAGAAAAAACTTTAATGTCAATTTATTTTCGGTAATTGAATCAACCGTAATCTGCAAAAGAAAGAGTTTATGTTTTAGTTAATCACAGATTTTAATTACAGCAATGTAGCTAACTTTAATAACAATGTAATAAACTGTAACTGCCAGAGACCTTTTTCAAACTAGAACCGAGGGTAAAGCAAAAAGCAATTAAACAGCGAACAACATTCTCTGTTACTACGTCTATGATCATGCACCTTCAAGAGCGTTAATGAATTAACATGTCTAGGTACTGTTATTTCCATCAGATGGTAATCGATTTATTTATTCCTCTTAAGTATCACCAAATAATGCTGTTATTTCTCCATCTAAATTGGCAACACTATGATCTAGAGCCATGATCATCTATAATTAATTTTGTTAGGTCGTCTTAAGTAATAGTTCAAGTAGTGTTAAATAATTAGTTATCGTTAAGTATTTATTTAGATTAATTTTGTTAGGTGTTTTTTTAAAAAATGTTGCATAGTTAGTTATATATCTATTCAGAGCTATTTTGTATTTTGTATTTGAAGAAACTTCTAAACGAAGTAATTATTTAGATTCATTTTTGATTGGTGCTATCTAAAATAGCTATAGAAATTTGAAGCAAAAACAGAGTTATGGGGCTGTCATACCAATTATTGGTGACGTAGCTTGCCTTTTTCGAGCAACAGCATATATATTGTACGATACTCAAGTTATGGCTCGAAATGGGAGTTAGGAAGTAGTACAGCACGTAATTTAGAGTTTTTAGGAGTTTTCTATAATCTTATCTCACGACAGAGAGAGAAATAATTTAATTTTTTTTCCGCCTACTATGTTGAAATGTTCCAAAATCATACTTATGGTGGTTGTTGTTGTTGACGTATGCCTGCTTAGACTTAAGGGGTGCGATTGTTCTTGTTTTCCAGTGGCGCCATCTATGGTCAAGAATTCGACTTCTGCCACACCATACGTCGCACCCGTTTATAGGGTGGACCCATTTATACATCCATTCATTCATCCACAGATCGTAATTTTGACCTGAATCAGAGAACGATCGATCTACAATCCAGTACCCCCAGAGGTATTGATTTGTTATGGGAACATGGAGGACTTTTGCGACTCGACAGATTTAACGTGCGTCAGTCACTTTACTACACGGAGAGTCTTCGGCCGGAGGGGTTCGAACCCACAATCTCTTGGACATGGGCCTAGCGCCCTACCGACCAAGCTATCCCGGCCCACTTATGGTGGTTGGTGAGATTTAATGACTGCCTGACCGCTTTTAAATTACTACTAATATTCAATACAAAAAGAACATTGACTATATTGCAGACATATCCTTAAAATATAGTTAAAATTGAATTCAAAGTATTTTCGCACATGGAAAACAGCTAGTAATATATTAAACTTGAAATTGATAACAGATTGTTTTGGGAAAATCGTTATTATCGTAGTTTAAAATATCGATTTTAGTCCAAATTATTAAATTTCAGGAAAATAATAAATATTTATAAATTTTTTATAAGACCTATGATATTTTTAAGGCAGATCTCAAGGCATCAAAACTTAACCATTGGTGGACCGAGGCGTCAGATCGTATTCTTTGGAGAAAGCTTGTTAAGACGGCCTTGCTCTGTAGTAGGTTGCATTGTAATTGAAGTAGAGGAACTAAAAACTTATAAATATTTGCAAACTACAGTTAAGTCAAGTGCTAATCTTATGTTATTTGTTGTAACCTGAAAGAGATTTTTGTCAAGGATTCTAAAAGTATACACCAAGGACGGATATAACGAAAAACCCAGTAAAATACTCGTATTTAATATTCATTGTTTAGAATTATCAGATAATTAATAGCAAATAACCTTGTACGATTATGTATTTGTTAATACAGCATTATATCACAAATTTTATATTAAAAAAGCATGAAGCAATGAGAAAATTTGTTATGTTTTGGAAATACGAATGTTAAGTATTGTTTTAAAATATTTTTAAGAAATTGAAAAGACTATTATTTAGAGAAACTATATTGCTTTAGAATGATTAATGGAATGCATGAAAATACAGAGAATGCAATAAAATGCTCACCCTTTTAACAATTTCATTCAAGCATTGATTTAAATCTGTACCTCCTTTCAATTGTTCCGAAAGTTTCTCACCATTTGAGTTGTCCAGAAATACTCGAACATTTCGTACATGTAAACAACTTTCTCTGTCATAATCATCGCATTCTAGAGAAGAAGGAGCTATAGTTTTTGAATTTGAGGTGTCTGAAATCAAAAGGAAGTAATGAGTTAATTCTCAACCTTATTGTTGATGTATCACTATTTTAAGAATAACCATTGATAAACAGCAAGAACGATAATAAAAAAAATTTAAACGATAAAAACAATTTAGTTCTTTTAAGTCAAAAACCAAGTAGAATCATGTATCACCACTGCTTTCCATTTAATATTGCATAATATAGCATTTTTTCAGAGCGTTTCTGGAGAAAAATTGCACGATTTCCATGTAAGCAATGAGTTGTTTCTGCGAATTGTGCTGTTGTCTAATGGAAATCTCAGAAATTTTCAATATGCTAATCTTGAGATAATATACAGGCCACGATTGTCTTTCTGCTCACTTATACCGCATAGGTCTTTCCACCACGCGTTTTTGTCCACTTTGTAAATCTGGAGAGAAATTGGGCGTGGTTCACCTGCTTCTGTGTGGGGCCCTTCATGGACACACTGAGTCCTCAAGATATTGGTAAGCAAAAGAACTTATAAGGCAATGACTTCAGTCTTCTTTCTTTGTTATCCTGGGTACATTTGTATTCGTTATTTATTTCATCTTTCTATTTGTACCTTTTTGCCTTGCCATTGGAAATAAAAGAAAAAAAAATCTTGAGATGATACTAAAGAACAGTTTGAAGAAAAATGCCGCCTTCGAAAAACGTATAGCTTATTATTAATATTACGCGAAGCCTTTCTAACTGTCTTCTTCTGCTTATACCCTTTTTACATGATATTTTATAGACACTGAACGAACAAACCAAAATGAATGGTTTCATATTTGACTTCTAAATACACTTTTGGCTTACCTCAGGAACTTGAATCCCTAGTTGAGGAAATCATGATGTGGCACCTATTCAAAGGGATGGAACAATGATGAATATTTTTTCTATTAGCACTCCATTTCATGCATACCCAATAATGTGACATTGAATAAGATTTGTCTCCGTTCTCTTCTCTCAAAAATACTCTAATGTACATTTGTTTATAGTTTACATTGATAGGGATAATAGCTTAATTATTATAATTTACATTTCATCAATTATATTCCTCTTTTTTATCACACCAGTTATAGGAATTCGCAAAAATTAAGGCATAATTAATATATTCAGTATGTATAGTAGTATGTATTCAGTAGACATAATAAATACTATATTCAGTATGTTCATGTATTTATCCCACTGATCAATAACTAAATTTTAATGAAGAATGCAAAAGATTAAATATTTTAAAAATTAGTACAGTGAAACCTGATAAAGTTGACAATTTTTTTAACAACAATTTTATAGTACAAACAAATTATATTGAACTAGAAGTTTAATTGAAATTTTATTGAGTAAATTGTTTATTAGTTTCAAAAGTAAATTCTAAATTCACTTTGCTAAATATACTAATTATAAAAAAGTTTTATTTAAGCAAACAAGAATAAATATGACAATACTTGTTAATTAATTGATTTGTCTAAACACGTTACAAAAAAAAAATTAAATACTGACTTTCTATACGGTTGCACATTTATGTGAAGATAGCTGATACACACATGGAATTTAAATTTTGATCATCCAGTTGAAAAATTATGACATTGCAGCTATTGTCAATCCTGATTTTATGTTTGTTTTGGGAAAAAGAAAAGCGTTGCCAGTACGGAAATATTTATTTAGTTGCACGTTATGTTACAAGTAGAAAAAAATATCTTGCTTGAAATTTTTTTCAAGGCGTAATTATGCTAACCATAAATTGCTACATTTATAATTATCTTGAAACTAGTCGTGTGCATGGGAGAAGTGGGTGAAGTACATCCAAAGTACATACACTTCCAGCAGAGCCATCCAAGGCCTGAAGGCCACTCCATTATTCCCAGCTAACACTAACGGGCAAGGAGTTAAGTCAGCCTTCCACCCATGGGTGTTCCAGTAGCTGAGACTGCACATCACCTCTCATGCATCCGTTGACATACATCTTAGATTCCTCCGGACTTTAATGAAAAGACATCAGTACTTCCCCCCATCTGATTATTGATTTCATGTGTGTCAGTGGATTCACAGACCTGACTTGACTCCGTCAGACCAGTAACAATAATAACAACCATTAAGATATTTAAGCTGACGTCACTTTGCTTACCTGTGCATGGGCAATCCATCAATGATCAATCAGTTACAGATAGCAACCAATAGAAATGTTTCTTTGGGATGAGCATACGAATAAAATTACTATAGTTGATTTATTTATTTCACCCAAGTGATATTAGTTCAGAGTCTGGCTTGGATGGCTCTTTTATCTTCCTTATGTAGTTGTTTTTGTAGTTCATTTACGTCGCACTAGAGCTGCACAATGGGCCATTGGCGACGGTCTGGGAAACATCCCTGAGGATGATCCGAAGACATGCCATCACAATTTTGATCCTCTGCAGAGGGGATGGCACCCCCGCTTCGGTAGCCCGACGACCTGCACGCGAAGTCGAGCACTTTACGGTAGAACAGTTTAACGAGGACCAATACCGCACACCCTCGGTCCCTACGCAGACTGATCCAAGTGGTCACCCACCCGCACACTGACCGCAACCACTGATGCTTGACTTCGGTGATCTGCTGGGAACCGTGTCTTAACGATCAGTCTACTGCGGGACTTATGAATAAATATATTTTATTCAAAAATGTTTCCTTTTATTTTTATTTATCTCTTAACAAATACAAGGATAAGCATATAATTGTTGTTACTTTACGTCGCACTAGAGCTGCACAATGGGCTATTGGCGACGGTCTGGGAAACATCCCGGAGGATGATCCGAAGACGATAAGCATATAAAGTAAAACGATTTATTAGAATGAAAACTTGTGCTTTATTCAGAAAATGGTTTCTGGAAATATTGATGAGTAAAAGAAAGCTCGAACAAAATATCAAAGATCTAATGCTTGCAGTGATTTTGATAAATACTAGTCTAATTTAGATAGTAATGACGAGTTAGTTAAACTTCAACTCATTAAACAAAAGCCGGGCTTATTGATAGACATTGAAATGAAAATAAGAGACAATCTAGTGAAGTTGATGAAGCAATATGTGAGGCTAAATTTGATGAATGGGAAACATACATTGAACTTTGGCGTCTCTTAGAACAGAAACTTATAAAATTTGCAAGTTTTGAGAAAGAAGATTCTGTATTTGGTGAGAATACTTTGCCAAAAAATACGTTGTTACTTTATCCCAAAATTCAACTTCCAGTTTTTAATGGAGATATTTGAAATTGGTTAAATTTTTGGGGACAATTCAAAAAAATTGATAGCGATTCCAATTTAGATAATAATGATAAATTTCTCGTATCTATCATGCGCCATGGTGAAAGGAAGCGCCTCTCTTCGTGAGACGGAAGTGACGTCATCACCCAAAGTCAACAGGAGCTTATTTATGTCTCAACCAGAAGTTGCTTATTTCTGCCCGATTGCAAACCGGAAGACAGTAAAGAAATTTAAGACTTTGTTTCCTGTGGTTAGGATCTTCCAACGGATTTACATCATTTGCTTGCTGCTGATGTGCAGCTGAAAGGCCAGCTGGAGTTGATACTGATCTGTACAGGGGAACACTTAAAAAAAATTCATATACATTAGGAGTTCCCTTGTCTTCTGGATTGGGTTCAAAATTGCAAAGTTACAGAGTAAAACATTAGTAGTCGTAAACTCAAAATTGGGCCGGTTGTTCAATGATGGTTATTAAATTAAATTAGATTATTTCATGTAGAGCCGTGGTGGCTTAGAGGATTGAGCGTTCGCTTTCCAATGAGATGAACCAGGTTCAAAACCCAGAAATAGTCGATACGAAATCAACAACCGGCTAGCACCGACCACAGTGCTGACGTAAAAAATCTTCAATGTTAGACTAATCCTGAAGGCGAACCGGGTTCGAATCCCAGTCGAGACGAATTCCGCATTCGGCTTGCACCAACCACAGTGTTGACGTGAAATAAGTGTAGACGGGTCCTGGGTTAGAGTCCCCTTGCCTTCAGGCTATCCGTTGGAGGTTCTCGTGGTCTTCCTCTTCATGTAACGCAAATGCGCGTTAGCTCCATCAAAAAAGTCCTCCACGAACGCAAATTGCTCCCAAAACTCGAGCCAAGAGTTCCCTTGTCTTCTGGATTGGGTTCAAAATTGCAAGGCTACGGAGTTGAACATTAGTAGTCTTAAACCCAAATATGGGTCGACCGATCAACGACGGCTATAAAATTAAATAAATAAAAAAATTGTTTCGTGTTTATTTGCGCACAAATATATCTTTGTAAATAAGTAAGTTGGAGAAACTTAAACTTTTTCCAAAGGAGATAGGCTGGATTAAGACAAACACAAACAACTATAAGCATTCACAATTTGTCTGCTAAGATTTATCCCAAATAATTTTTTGAGGAATTTCGAAATGCTTTGTTTTAAAAATTAGGTTTCAGGCTTTAAAAAATTTCACATCTTCGTGATCTGTGTTATATAATATGCAAATTGTTCCGTAATGACCACCTTTAATTTATACAGTCCAAACCTTGATGTTACGAACTCAAAATGAGAATGATAGCGATATTTATGACAGCGATATCGAAAATCAAATATTTTTATCGTATATCGAATACTTTTAACACGTATAAAGACGTAAATTTAAAAAGTGTATAAAGTGTATTTTCTCAAAAGAAAAAAAAAAGGAAAAAAAGAACCTTCTTTTAAGCAATGTTAATGCCTTTGATTTTTCAAATGACTTTACGTTTTGCTAAATTTCCCTTGTTCCGGTAATCTCTTTTGAAATTCTTTATTTTTTTCAATCATCACATATGATTAGTAAATTATAGTCAAGAGTATATGCGTCTTCATAATTATTAGTTTCTCAATTAGCTTCTTAATTAGTTCAATGAATTGACAAGTTCTTTACTTAGGGCATTCTTATCTGCGCGTACATATACATATCTCACACATGTCTACATCTTTTGCGTTGACATTTCCACTTAATAAATTCGTCAGCGTTCAGATTTGTGCAGGCGGCAACTTGCATACGCACATGCAATTGTGCAGTAAGAGTAAGTTTAAGTACTAATTCTGCATAAGCTTATACAGTAAAGAAATCTTTTTAAAGAACATAAAAAAAAGAATAGATTCTTCTTTCAAAAGAATTTAATTAATTGATTCAGAAAAAAGAGTTGACTGAAATATAGATTCGTTCGTTTTTCGCACACATTTATTGGCAGTACCTGTAGCTCATTTCGATCGCTTATGGAAGATCGACTTTTCAATCTATGGATGGTTACTGAATTAAAACAATAATGAGCTTCTTAAAACCGAAAGAAATTTAGAAAACTCCCGGTGTATCCCTCTGTTTATGTTATGCTTACGGGGTGAGGAGTGAACAGGCTAAATATTCTAGGAAGTTTTATTATTGTGATCTATGTTTAAATTTGCACGTAATTTTACCATTCATAAAAGTTTACTATCATTTATAAATTCTAATTGGTTGTGAGCCTGAAAAAATTTAAGAAAATTAATATCACAACATAATTAAAGTGTGTAAGGTTTCCCACGTTTTGAGGGTTTTCCCTTATTTGGTTATATTTGTGTGAAATATCACCGTTAGTCATTTTTTGGGGTTGCATCTTGCAAGGCATCGCATGCTTGTGGAATCTTCCAAATTTTTATGTTGTTTATTTCTTTGAAATTTAAATTTAAAAACCACTTTCTATTCTAAACACTGCAAGTATAATAATATTTGATGGCGCCTTTTTCAAGCTTAGGAGTTAAAATCAATCGAAAGTAGTAACCCGGAAGTCTTACAACCAATTTTAACCACTAGCGCCATATGTGCTTAGCTTTTCGTCCCGCAGTGGGCTGGTCGTTAAGACACGGTTCCCAGCAGATCACCGAAGTCAAGCATTGCTGGCTGCGATCAGTGTGCGGGTGGGTGACCACTTGGATCAGTCTGCGTAGGGACCGAGGGTGTGCGGTATTGGTCCTCGCTAAACTGTTCTACCGTAAAGTGCTCGACTTCGCGTGCAGGTCATTGGGCTACCGAAGCAGGGGTGCCATCCCCTCTGCAGAGGATCATAATTGTGATGGCTTGTCTTCGAATCATCCTTAGGGATTAACTACTACTACTGCTTAGCTTTTCACGGTCAACTATCCATTACGAAACATATTTACCTTTTTGCCGGGGCCTTCCTGGTCGAGAGATATCGCCCACAGAACGCTGTGCAAAGCGTGGAGGTAGAGGGTCCGAATACCGCCGTAACTCATTGAATTGTTTTTGTCCTTGTAGTTCATTTACGTCGCACTAGAGCTGCTCACATCACAATTTTAATCCTCTGCAGAGGGGATGGCACCCCCGCTCCGGTAGCCCAACTACCTGCAAGCGTAATCGAGCACTTTACGGCTGAACAGTTTAACCAGGACCAATGCCGCACACCCTCGGTCCCTGCACAGACTGAACTAAGTGGTCACCCACCCTCACACTGACCGCAGCCAGTGATGCTTGACTTCGGTGATATGCTGGGAACCGTGTCTAAATAACGATCAGTCCACTGCGGGACATCGAATTGTTCTATCTGTACTTTTTTGACAAAGGCTTATAAGCCTAAATAGAGCTCACAAGCCTGCAAATGTTTGTAGTAGTCTTCAATGAAGTAGAAAGAAGCTAATAGAAACTTAATAAACAAAACAAGTTAACAGCTTGATTTAATTTCGCAATTTTTTTCAAACAGTTTAAAACTGTGCCCTGATGTCGGCGTTTTGCTTTTATTATTTTTACCATTAAATGAAAAGATGAGACCGTGCAACTTTCTTTATAGCATTCATTCAGACCAAAGGATTTGATTTGAATTTACTCTTAACCTTTTTAATCTTCCCATAATGAATTAACGTATTTTATCTTTTTCTTCTTACCCTGAAAGATGTTCTTTTGTGTAGCTTTCCTCAGAAACATTTTAAATATTGCAAAAATATCAAGTTCTAGCTCTTCATGTTTATATTTTCATAAGTTATGTTTCAATAAGTCAAAAGAGGTCTATGTTTGTTGCCAAATAAATTATGCTTTGATGAATCTATTTTCATCTGCACCTCAAAGAACACTTATGAGCACGGTTTATTCATTAAGTATGACATTCTATGCATGTATATTCTTTTGATATCTAAATAATTTTTACTGTACAGTTAAGAATTTTTTTTCTCCCTTAATACATTTGAGAATTACTCCGTTGTTTTTCCACTGCTAATAAAATATTTGAATTGTGAAAACTACTAATTTTTCTAATATTTTACGGGTGCTCTTAAATGTTTCAAATTTATGTGAAAAAAGTTTTTGATCAAATATGTTTCATATATATTATTGGGCAAATTATATGCTTAAATCTTTGGGAGATATTTCCGTATCTGATTAGTCGCTACAACTGCAATTACCAAGGGGCCAATTAGATTTTAAACTTGCAGATTTTTTTTAAAAACAATGTTCAAGTTTGCCCTGGGTTGGCTACGAGTTGTGGGGGGCGGAGTTATCGACCATGCCAACCGCCATCTATCAAAAGGTACCTCTTGATTGAATCAAGTTAGCATGTCTTATATAATGTCTTATATACCAGTGAATCGATGTTTAATATTCGTAGTGGTAGTTACGCCACAGTGCTCCCCCACTAGAATTTTATCAGGGATATAATTCGATGAACAGATCTCACTAGTTGCTGTACTGTTTTGAGTGCTGAATGTGAGAGGTGTATTAATTTCACAGACGTGGAAGCTCCTGTGTTGTCTTTAGCAGTCGAGTGTATGCTAGCCGACGTTGTGTGTATGTTTGAGACGAGACTGAGCAACTGCGCGAGGAGGTGAATGATGCATTCACAAATAGCAAGTCAACTGTTCAATGTGGACTATCCATCAAAGTAGGCGTTACAGTCAAGAGATTGTGAAGTAGGCGTTACTGCATGATCAAATCATGTCTGGGTCACCAATGTGGGGGGCGGAGTTATCGACTATGCCAACCGTCATCTATCAAAAGGTACCTCTTGATTGAATCAAGTTAGCATGTCTTATATACCAGTGAATCGATATTTAATATTCGTAGTGGTAGTTACGCCGCAGAGTTATACCTTTCGAGTTAGTCCTTTTCTGTGATGTTTTTTTTAATTTCTCGCGCGCTGCCAGCTAGAAGTTGCCAAGGCTTCGTGATTATTCTGCCAAAGAGAAATATCCCTGATATTTATATAGAGTTGATTAGTAAACTAAGAGCAATGATTCTGAATTCATCAATAAATTTGTACAGTGAAACCTCTCGGGAGTGAACACTCTCCAGACCACAGCAAAACGGTCGCTCTTTGGAGTTACCTCCATTGAACTAACAGTATTGAAGATACATGAATTTCAGCAAGTGATTTTAATTTCATTCTTTGTCATTTTCTTTGTGCGTAAGTGCCAGTTGTGTTTGCTTCTTGAAAACCGGATCGATGAATAAAACTTAGCATCAATAAAAATTTAATTGTTGTGTATGAAAACAAATTTATCAATTATGAATGATATTTTATTGAAATGATTATGAAGTATGTTTTTGTCTAAATTAAGCTGGCGTTCAATTTTATATTATAAAAATTTGTTAGCTTTAAAAAAAGAGGTTTGCTTGCTTGATATGTTTAGGTTTTTTTTCTAAAATAACTTTTTTTTCCAATTTAACTTTGAACTCAAAAAATAAAATTATTGAAATAGCATCGTCTTTAGTGCGCTCTGACTGCAACATAAGGTTGTAGATCTTTTTTAGATTGTCAAATAGATCTCTCTAAAGCACTCACAAAAATTTAAAATACATTTGAATCTGTTTATTCATGCTGTTAATATTTTTTGTTTTGATATTTTTTCATGTTTCCTTATTTGACCTGTACCGCATTTGGTGCAGAGGTTTACCCCGTCGCTAGGAGATGTTTTGATGGTTCCTCTTAAAGGTTTTCCTTATTACAAAATGAATAAAAGAAATTCTCTGCCTCCTTAAAATTGTTGTAAATAGATGAGATCGCTACACAGAGGCGTTCTTTCTTGAAGGTTTCCCTGTATCATATTTTAGTTAAAATTAATGCTCTTTAAATGGCTTAAAATTCTACAATTTTTGATAATTTACATTAAAGTGTTATTTTTTATGATAAATAAAATTCCTTTCATTAAATAATTTATAAACCCAGGATTATGTTCGCAAAATTAGGTTAATTTATTTGTATAAAATATAATTCTTGATAAAATTAAAAATTTTTTTTGAATACAATTTTCCTTCAGGCAATACACACAAAAGTTGCATTAAGCATTTCACCTAAATTTTGAGCTTTTTTTTTGCCTTGTATGTTTATTTAGACTGAATAGTAAAATATTCACCCAGGCACAATGGTTTCTTATTTAGTGTGTTTTTAAAATTGTTCAAAAAATATAAATCAAAATTTGAATGAAACAAAAAATAATCAGCAAGCAGACATGAAAAAGGAATATAAATTCTCTTATTTGATATATTCAGTATTTGTGTCCCTTGTTGACATAAAATTTAACAAAATATGTTATTATAATTTTTTTTATTATAATTATTACTCATCATTTCAATCTTTTATTATCATATCATAATCTTTGACTATTATGCATCCATTTCTAGGTAAAAGTTTTTCATTATTTCAATACCTTTTGTTTTATTCAGAAATATTTGGAGTTTAAATAGCTATTTAATGTATTCTGTAGAACATCATCTACTAAGAAGGTACTAAAATTTTCATTAAATTTAGATGGTAGTATTTTGGTGCATATATGCACCAAACCTCCAAATAAACATAGAGACCAACTTTTATGCTTCTTGTTTCTTTCTTGGATTTCTAAATTTAATTCAAATGATTTTGACAACCTTTACATATAAATGAAGTACCTATATATAAAAGTGCATGATAATTATACAAAGTTATATTTGAACTCTGAGCCAAATAAAAAAGATATTTTTAATTCTAATTCAATTTTTATTTTACTACCACTGGGGAAAATTATCCTTGGATAGACTAAAAGTAGGCAGTTATGCATAAGTTTTTTAGTTGTTGATAAGTTATAAGTTTTTGTGTATATGTAGGAAACACATCATATCTTTGTATTGTAGATGTAGGATACACATCAGGTAAACGTTGATAGGATTTTTTAAAGTGAAATTTTTTGGGTCTTTTATTATTGCAAATAGATTGTAATTATAATTATTCTGAAAAAACTTTTGTTTGGGAAATGTTGATAGTATTTCTGTTGAATATATAAAAGATCTTGTCCTTCAATATATTTTTGACACCTAATTTCTATGATTATTTTACTTTAGGGAATTGTCACTCATTTGATCAGGGAATAGTCACTCAAAAAACTTCAAAGGCTGAGCAAGAAACATCCATGCAGGCAATTTTGTGTGATGGAGTAATAAAAGAGCAAGTTCCTGATGAAAAGTATGTATTAAAATATTTTTAATAATAATCAAGTTGCATTGTTAAATTTTTTTTAATTTCATTAGGAAATTAACTGTAATATTACCCATCAAAATCAAGTTATTATTTTTCATGGGTTTTATTTGAAAACGTTAAATTAAAGATTTAGAGACTAGAAGCAAACGGTTAAATTTTATCTTTTGTGTATTTAAGCAATATTTCTCATTAAAATATTTTCATTATTTAATGGTCTGTTTTTGCTTAAAATGCTCACAAGGAGTTAAAAGAAATGTGCACCATACACATTTTATGTTTAAAAAATATTTTTAAATGAATAAAATATGAGTAAATTGTCATTAATGTTCCAAGTCTTCATCACACATTTCTGAATTTTCTAAGTAATTTACTATATTATGAAAGTGTTACAGAGAGAAATACATGCATATTCTGTCTACTTGAATATCTATCATCAATATTTTTAGAATAATTTTTATATTTTGTTCCTCATATTATTTTGTATGTGTCCCCAACATTTTAGTACTTACTGTCCCAAGTATGAAAAGTTGCAAAGAATGCTCTTACAGAACGGTAAAGTTTAAATGCAGTACAAATTCTTTAAGAGGCAAAAAGCTTAATTACACCTTAAAAATTCTGTTTGACTTTATTGACTGTAATTACTGTGTACCTAATTTTTTTTCTGTGCAAAAATTTTTGATTTGTGCAAAGTTAAGTAAGTTACTTTTATAAAATATGGATAGTTTAATTTAGGAAATGAAATAGCTTTTTTTATCTATATGGCAAAAACTATTGTTTTGTAATTACTGTCTCTATCGGAAATGCACTTAAAGGGGACAGTATTTACTTAAAAGTCTGTAGTTACTATCGAAAAAATTTAATGAGATTGATTCTTATTTAGTTACTTATTTTGATTCTTATTTAGTTACTTTTTTTTAAATCAGATTTCAAACAATGATAAAAAAAAACTATTTTTATTTGGCTATAATTTATATTTATATTATTGAGATAAAGTTTAAATAATCTACTTAAACATGTTTAGATAGTTCTGAATGCATTCGGTTTTGTGTTCTAACTGTGTTTGAAATTAGAAAATCAAAACATTAACTTTGTAAAAGGAAAATGAACAGCTAAAAGTATATACAGTAGGGAACCGATTATCCGGAACGATCGGGACCATCGCTATTCCGGATAACTGATTTTTCCGGTTTTCTGAATCACTACAAAAAGCCGTTTTTTTTATTGTTAAACCCAACTAAAAAAAAATATTAGGAAATAATCTTAAAAAGAAGAAAAAACGATGAAATAATACAGTAATGATTATTTCTAAAATGATGGTATGGTAAACATCTTTCAAAAAAGAAAAAAAAATTTAAAATCTTATGAGGAAAAATTTTTTTTTTTTTNAAATTATATATATATATATATATTGTATATATGCATTATTTAAAATTTAACTGGTTTTTTTTTTGATTTATTTTTTAAGTTCAAAAGAATGACTGTAATACAAGTAGATCTTAAATTGAATAGGGTTACAATACCTTATTCCGTTTTTGACATGCGAAGAAAACGGTCTTGAAAAAAAAGTATCAAAAGTGGATGAGGAAAATCGCTAAACATCGGGAACAGGCGCAAAACTAATCAGTTTCCGTTATTATAAGATTATTAATAATTAACATCATGAATTAATATTGTTTTGCTATTGTGTGCATTATTTATCCACAAAGCTTATCCATTGTTGTTGCCACAAAATGTCAAATTGGAATAAAACATGTCAAAGTTTTATTGACAAAATGAGTCTGCAAACTCTGAAAAATATCTATTATTTCTGCTCTCGTACAGATAATTTTTAGAAGAAATTTAATATTTTTTGGAATAAGCCTGGAAATTTTGTTATGTAGTTTTTGTTATGAAACTCTCATCTTAAATATTTTTTTTTTAAAATTATTAAATCAAGATAATTGCTTGGTTTATTCTAAGAATAAATCAAAGAAATAGTGTAATAAAATTATATCAAAATTTTGAAAATCTAAGTTTTCAAAATTTTGATGTAATTTTTCTAAATTCAATCTATTTATAAATTATTTGTTAATATTATCATTTTTTGAGAGTATAAAATTTTTTTCTGTCTTTAAATTGATTTGTTTATTATTAAATTTTTTCCTTTTTTTTTCTATATTTAGAGTTAAAATCTATTTTGAAACTGCGAAAGGAGAAAAAATTGAATGTTTTGCTTGTGCAAATAAGAATGTAATGAATGCTTCAATAGAAAACGACATCGCCATGCATGGTAATCAAAAATTTTTGCTTTTATTTTAAAATGAAAATTTCATTAATGTCACTTACAAGAATAAAATAATCTGTAGTACTATTTGCAGGAAACATCTACCATCCAAAATTAAAACAAAAGTTATGAATTTTGTTTGTGATCAAAATTCTACAAAAAAATATAAAAAGCTCAAAATTCAGAAGAACTGCTAATTTTAATTATTGCATATAATCAAGGGCTTTTAGTTAAATATTCATGTTTTCTTTTAAGTTTCTTAAATAATAGTATTTAAATGAATATATTGTGTACCGTCATGTGGGGCTACTTTGTGCAGGATTTCGCAGTTTTTGTACTTTGACATGTAAAAAGACTATGTTAATTCAAACTTTAGTAAAATTTATCAATATTATACTCATAACTGGACTCAGACGAGTGAATTTGATCAATATTGGCATTATTTGTATGTAATATTTAAAAATAATAAGTCAAAACATACTTTGCACAAAGTAGCCGCCAAGTGGGGCTACTTTGCACAAAGTATCCGCCAAGTGGGGCTACTTTGTGCAGCAATAAGAATTCAGTTTAATAATCATGTTTTTAATTGATATAAAATTGTTAAAAAAGTTAATTGTTGACATTTTTAATAACGAAAACATAAAGATATGTAAGGATATTAGTTGGAAAATAATTTTCAGCATTTAAAAACCATTTTTTATAAAGAATTTTTTCTTAAAAAGAATGTTTATTTCAAAACATTTGAGTTTAAACAAGAGGAAACCATATACATTTTTGAACATTGAAATGGATGAAATTTCAAAAATAACAATTATTACATATTCATTAACATTTATAATATTCATGAATTTGAACATAACATGCTTGAATGAACATGACAGAACATGTTCTTCACTTTCTGTGAAAGTCACCTGATGTCCTATTAAATATATTTTTCTGTGTTAAGTCGTTTGATTAATTCATTAGAAAAATCTTTGTGGAAGGAAAATAATAGTTTACCAGCACGTTTCACGTGTTTCTTGTGAATTTTATTAGAGATAGTATTTCTGTGGATTTTGTACTTCCGAGAAGCTTCTACAATCGACATACCACCAGCAACTACTTGCAAACATTGTTGCAGCTTTTCTAAACTGCAATCATGGTAGTTTCTCGTTCCAGGTATTTTTTTTTATAATGTCTGACAATTTTTCTGTGAAAAAAAAAACGAATGAAACTTTGCACCAAGTAGCCCCACAGTGCATTTTTTAGCATTTTCCGTTTATTTGTTATTAATGTAAAATTTTTTTAACGCTAACATGATATAATTGTTTATTAGTGTATAAATAAAAAGTTTTGCACTTATGACAATTGTTTCACAACGTCAATTGTTTCATCAACGTTTGCATTTCACAGCTAAAGTTTCCACGCACACTTTTCGACGTCCGACGTTCTTGGAAAGTTTTTGATATTGGATAAACAAAACACACTCTGAGATTGTTTTAAAATTCGAAAAAATGTTTGTAGTAATAGAGGAGACTTCTATCTTCAAATTCCACACATTTTTAACGTGAAAAAAACATAATATTGAATAGCAGCACTTGAAAAGTACCTAATTCGAATTTGCACAAAGTAGCCCCACATGACGGTAGGTTAATAGTTTTCAATTTGAAATTATTAATGAGTTTATTTGTTAATAATTTCCTTAAATATCTTTTTCTTATGATTGAATTTTTTATTTACTGTAGGCAATTGTAATGGTGAACAAATTTGCAGTGTTTGCCATGTATATACAGATGAAAAGTATCAGGAATTTATGCCAAAAATATCTGAAGAGTAAGATATCAAATAGTTTGATTTGCTTTTTTTTCTGAGTTAATTACTGATAAGTAAAAAATTTTCGATTGCTAATTACTTAATATGTTTATGATGATTGTTGTTTTCAACTTTATAATATTGTTAATCCTTAAACATTTAAACTTAATGTTAAATTTATTATAGGACGTTATGTGTCCGAACAAATATGTATGTCGGATTAGATCTTATCTTTGCTTTAGATGTCTTATTTCTGAACTAAATTATTTGTGTTATGTTTATAGTTTTGCATTTTTGTACAGTTATAGACAACTATTGAAATATAGCTTTATGCTTGAAGAACAGCATCTGTTGCAGTTTATTTTATTTGACATTTTTTTTAGAAATATCTTTACTAAAAATAAAATATTGCATTTATAAAAAATAGTTCTATTTTATTTTTAGCTTTTTTTTTTATTTAAAAAAAAGATTGTTTCTAATGTAAAAGGACGAGAAATTCTACCAATGAAAATTTACTCCCTGTACACATATCTATAATCACATTTCAAGATTTCGTTCCTGTACTTTTTTGTTATTTCAGTAACATAAAAATGTCACTTAATCCGAAATGCTATTGTATTCTGTAATTTTCTAAATAAGGTCTTGTTGTATAAACACACAAATTATAACCAGACACCTGGATAATTGGGTATAAAAATTAGAATAGCTTTCATGCCATTTGCTTATGTCACAAGTAATTTTTCTTTAACCAGTGTTTTAGTTGGATACGAGTATTTTCTGTTAATATTATATTTATGGGGATCGCCAAATACTGCCCTCCCTGATGACTAAAAAAATTTCCTCAACAACTAACTTTTTCAATATATTATTCTGCTGCTTATGTTTGAATTATTGTGAGCATAAGGATTCATTAGGAAAAATGTGTTAAAATTGATTGCTTATTCTTTGTTGGAAAATTGAATTAATTGATAGGGTATTTTAACCCTAAAACTTAAAGGCTGACTTAATATTTATATCCATATAATATTTGTATGAAAGGCAGCAATATTAATTTAGCTATTGCTTTAGAATTTGTTTCATTAAATTGCACAAATTACTTGGCGTCCACTTGGTAGAATATTTTTTTTGGAACTAAGGAAATTCGGTAGTGAGATGATACACTGATACTGCCATTTTATTTTACACAATTTATTGTGAATAGCCATGGTGGCTCAGGGAATGGAGTGCTCGTTTTCCAAAGAAGTGACCCAGGTTTGAATCTCAACGCTGACTGGTCAATACGAATTCTGCTTCCGCTCGCACTAACCATAGTACGAACATAAGCAATATAGCTCTGGCTATATTGATGCAATATTAGAAAGCACTATTTTTTGCAGATATAATCGTGTGAGCTGGTGAAAAGATTATATCTTTTATTTTCCGGATTTTTAAAAGTTTTTTTTTGTTCTTTTTCCCCCCCGTTTTTTGTTATTTTTATTATTATTTTCTTTTTTTCCCTTTTTTCATTGTTCTGTAATTTTTCCCTTGTTTTCTCTATATCCGCATATATATATATATATATATATATAATTACATTTTTTTAGATTTGTGGCTACTAATCTTAGAAAGTACTGAATCTTATTAAGCCAAATTAAATTTTTATTTCAGAACTTAATGGATTGAATTTAGTTTATTGTCAAAATATTTAGAATAACATAAATTTTATGCTAATATTTATTTATTCATTTATCTTTAGTGAAGCTGAAATGTTAGATATGGTCCCTAATGTTCAAGAAAATTCACGTCTCTGTAAGTATTTTTTCTCCTTTCAATTTGTTTGTAAATAAGAATATCTATTACTAGAAATGATTTCTTTTAAAAATATGACGTGTTTAATGCTAATGTTGCATAATTTGTTGAATTATTTATGTTTAATACTTTGTAGCCTTATAAAGTTCTTTACCAATTTATGTGTCTTAAAAGTGTATTCCGCAGTGTTTTCTTGCAGAAGATGCAAGTATTTCACAGTGTTTTCTTGCAAAAAAATAGTGAAAGGTATTTGATTGAAGCCTGACTTCAATCAAATACCTTTCATGATTTTGTTTTTGAAAATTTTATATCAATTTTGTTGATATGTATTTTAGTATGTATTTTAATTATAAATGTGTACAGTAAAGAATTGATCGTCCTGAATCTCCTGGATTCATATAATTTTTTATATCTGTTTTTACAGTTTTCTGGTTCATTAAGGAACAGCAGTCTATAATGCTTTTTTTATTCTAGATTAGACTGTGTGTTGTCGAAAATTTTGGTAATTTTAATATTTCATTAACGTATAATAATTTTACTGTCACCAAATATTTTTACTGAATGTATCTAAAAATAGATACAAATTTAACATTATAGATGAAGAAAAATGAAAACATTTCAAAAAATTGATTTTTGATTGAAGCATTCATTTTACTAGTTTAGAATGTGGCGCTGTTAGTGTAGCACAATGGGCTGTTTTGGACTTCAACTGTCTTCATTGTTTGTTGCAACAAGTGAATTTAAAAGTGAAAATGATTAAATTGGTCATCAAAACAATGAGTTAAAAGTGAACTGCTGTGTCGCATATAAAAATTTTATTACCAATTTTAGTGCTAAGGAACTAATATGGACCATTCAGAATTAAATGTGGAAAATATTCCTTATTTGCCATTAAGATCACAAGAACTTGCCAAATTATTAAATCTGGGATTGAAAATTGATTTTAATGCTAAGTCCATAGAAGAATTTTGTCTCAAAGGAATTTCCAACAATTTTGAAACTGTCATTAAATCAAAGTGTCAATCAAATCTAATAGAATATTGAAGAAATGCTTAGTCCTGCTGTGTTGTCTCTTTTACCAAGATTTGATATTATAATTAAAAATGAACAGACACACCTTTCTCATTAAAACCTGATTCTTTCATATTCATTGTTAAAGTAGTGGGTTTTCTCAGAGTGGTAACCTTCCAAGAGGCTAAACTTTATGGATAGACTGTAGCTAATGTTTAAATTTACCAAGAAATTTAATTTATTTTTATTACTCTATTATATTTATATGTTTGTTACTTTTTAAAATGTTCACATTGTCTTAAAATTAAAGTTAATGACCTAAAACTGCAATAGTATATTACAGTACAATTTAGAAACTGTCAGTTTAACTCACATGTGTGTCGTATTTGTGAAATGCTCATGGGTACCCACAAAATTTCCGTAAAATATTATGGGGTCCTCACACCAAAAAGTTTGAAAAACCCTTTTCTTATAATAATACCTTCCAAACCAAAGTATCGAGAAAGATTAGCTCTCTCCTTAGCAGTTTGAAAGGAAATCTACGAAATTTTCACTAACTAGAGTGCATCCTGTAACAGAATCTGTGGAAAAATAACGTTTGGGTTAACTTGTGTCTTCCCACTTCTGCAGGCTTAAGACTGTCAGTTTATTTGGCAATAAATTGTGTTTGCAGTGTTAAAAAATGTTTTTTTTGTTTCCCAAGCTGCATTAATACAAGAATAAAAGATTAAATATTATAAAAGATAAAATGCAATAAAAATAAAATATAATAAAAATGAAAAAAAATAAAATATAATAAAAGATAAAATATAATAAAAATGAAAAAAATAAAATATAATAAAAATGAAATATAATAAAAATTAAATATAATAAAAATTAAATATAATAAAAATGAAATATAATAAAAATTAAATATAATAAAAATTAAATATATTAAAAATGAAGTATAAAGAAATGAAGTATAAAGAAATAAAACATGAGATAAATTTTTTTTTATTTATTTCAATTAGGGCTTCATTTTAATAACTTCACTTTTCTTGAGCTTATTAAAGGAGCTTTCTTCGTATTGCATGAAATAATATATCTTCTTAGAACATCAATAGCTGCAGCTATAAAAGAAGAAGTATCGACTAAATTTATTATTTCATTTTCAGCATAATTTTCTTTGCCATTTTCATTAAAATGTCTTTATAAAATTCCATCTTTATCTCTTATATCAATTGTTAAAATAACTTCATCACAGCTGAAGAAATTCTATAACTGTACATCTTTCTTTTTTTTCTCTACCCCATTCAAACTAATTTCGTTTTCTCTCCCGAAAATTGCCTTATTGAGATTAAAAAGTTGACCAAAAATTGCATTTTTAAACAAAGACACAGTCAAACTTAAATAGATATTTTTCAGCAATTGAAGAAACTAGCATACTGTTTTTAAGCAGAGAGTGTTGTCAAGTCAAGCCTCATTAAACGTAGATTTAATTGTAGTAATAAAAGTTATTGCAATAAATGTAGTTTTAATGGTTATTTTAGTAAGAAGAAAATTCTTTTATCCAAAATGATCAATCAAATTTTTAAGATGTGGAAAACAAAGATCAACACAAGAATGATGAAACAGGCTTCCTTATTAAATTTACAGCAGGCTATTTTTGAGCAAACTAAAGGGCTGGTAATTATATCTAATATAAACCTCTGATTTTGCGGAATCCGAAGAAATTAAAAGGAAAATTCTGAAATCACGAAGCTCACATGAAAATGCCGCTATTGCTGTGAATAAAAACGTGTTTTTTATTATTTTGAATTAAGCAAGTATATTAGGTTATTCAAAATTAGATTCATCTTTAAATTGGAAAAAACTTTGTACCTATTTGTGCCTAGCATCTCAAAATTTGGAAATTTTGATTTTTATGAAATAAATATTGTTCCTGAGAAATGGAATTTTAAAAAAGTTGTATTTTTGAAATTTGATTTCTCAGGAATTTTGTTTTTGCCAAGTAAAATTACATACTTTAAAATTATGTAAAAAATTGCATACATTATAATTCAGAATTTTTTTGACTATTATTGAATAAAATAATAAATCTTTACTAAAATGTATTCTTTGCATCTTTGGATAAACGAATTTTATAATTGTGTGCAAATTGTTTTTGGTTCACTTAAAAAGTTCTCAATATATAGCAAAGTACGCGAAAAATAAAATTAAAACGATGGAGTCCAAACTTTGAATCGCTCCCCTGACTAAACTGTGGGGACCATGTTTCCAGATTGCGATTACCCCTTATATTTTGGGGTCAGAAATCCAAATCTGTTGAAAAAAAAGTATGTTTATTGAGAGAGAGTACGTTTTTGTGTGTGATTTTGTAACTTAAAACATCGTCTGCACTAATTAATTAGCATATTTGAGGTCAACCCCTTGAACCATTAAGTTTCAGTCCTGGATTGTGAAGAAGATCTGATCATTGGATCAAAAGTTATTCAGGGTACTTCATTTTTTTGGCACACTGTCCATTACTTAGTACCTAAATAAAATCATGACCATTTGTTCGGCAGCTGAAGTGAGCCTTAGTCTTCTATATAGAACATTTCTTAATGTTGTTCTCCTTGTCGCCAGATCCTGTCAGTTCAATACCCATATTATTTTAAAATCTGTGTAACTGAATTTCAGCCATCGAAGTTTTGGGCACCCCTTAACTAGAATAGAACTCATTTTTTACTTCAGTGCATAATTCTTAGCAAAAAAGACTAAAAATTAAATTTCTCTTTTATTAGAAATAGGGAAATTAGTTGAGACATCTTGCAATCCTGTACAGTTTTCCAACTTTCAGTCCTACAACAAGTTTGTGAACTAGTATTTAAGCAATCTGGAGTATTTTATTTATTTATTATTTTTTTTTAAAATCTTTTTACAAGTTTTGGAAAGAGTTTTAAAAATCAAATAATATTGTGTGTTTCACAGTTTGACATCATGGGGCATTCCAAAAAGAGAGTAATTAACGAGCTGATTTATAAAACATTAGTTTTTTTTAACAATAAAAATTATTTGAATTTGCTATTCATTACTTTCTTATGAAATGAATAATTAAATCCTTATTGGTGATTCCATTCTATGTTGTAAACTTATGTAAATTAATTTTTACAGCTTGTCAAATCATTGTTAAAAAAGAGTTGGAAGGTGCTGTGTTTAAATTACCTCACTATAATGGTCCATCCTATGAAGATCCAGAAGAGAAATGATAGATTATTGAACTTTGTTTAATTTAAAATTAAATTATGTTAAAAATATGGATTATATGTGAAATTTCATATTGTTATTTTTAATGATATTTAGTTATATTTTTGTTATTTATTGTAAATAACAAATTGTGGAATTAAACGTAATTGGGAAAGTAAAGTTATGTGTCTTGCTGAGAACTTTTCTAATTAATGTAAAACAATATTTAATATTATATTTATTTGCAATTATGCGTAAAAAACTGCAATTCATTTGTCCTTCATAAACTGTACTTATGAAGAAAAAGGTGTCTAAAGATGAAATTGTACACACAATTAAGAAAACTTGGATTATAATATTAAGTTTAGGATAATTTTTTGGCATCTTAATAAAATGCTTTTGTTGCATGGACATAATATACCAAAATGTACAGTAAAACCATTTTATATAATATCTTAACTTTGTTTAAATGTGTCAATTTTTTAAATGAATTGAAAAATTTTTTTAAAATAATTTTTACTGACTCAGATTTGTTTTAAAACATTTCCCTAACAATGCATGCTTTTTTTTTACCATATCTCATCACCGAACCACGGCCAAACACTTAGCCCTGTTTTTCAGAGCTTTATCTTTTAATGGCCTCAGTAGGAATGCCACATAAGTTAGACTCTAGTCAGGAAATGCAGGCAGCGTCTGAGCTAGTACCTGCCTCTCCAAATTTCCAACCCACAACCAACCAGAGGTCTTGCAGTTATGACGGATTTAACATGCACTTTGGCGGGCACGCATGCTCAGTCGACTGCCAGGATTGAACTCTTGACCTTCAACTCTTCACCAGCAGAGTGAGTCATGCTTTCTCTGACTGTTTCACAAGAGTGTGCTGCCCATTTTTTATCATTAGAATTTTTGGTTTTTGAGAGTATATGTTTGTAATTGATAGATTTGTTTTGATAATTTATATTCAACATGCACATTTACAGAAATATTTAAATTGTTGAAATTTGTGAATGTAAATTCTAAAAGTAATGATTAACGTTTAGGAATTTAATTGTATTTTTCTTTTCTAATATTGGTTAAAAAGTTCCAAAAGTAATTATTTTAAAAAAGGTAAATAAACTACATAATGATCAATATAATTTTTCTAGCACACATTTTATTGTGCAATTACAAGTTTAGAGTCCTTTTATATATCAATAAAATAGCGGTCAGAAACAGAAGTTATTAGCATTGTGTAAAAAATAGTATGAGGATAGTTTGTGCCTTAATAATTTCATTACAGTATTTATTGTGTTCAAGACTTCATGACATTCAGATTTTATGAAAATATTTTTGTATATTGTACTTTAGAAATAAACTTATGATATGCTGGACTTAAAAAATTATTAAATTTGTTGACTTTATATTGTTTAAAAGTGATATTTAAAAAAAATTTTAAAAAACAAATATGGATAAAAAGTCAGAATGTTGCAGGTTTAAATCACTAGCCTCTGACACAGATAACTAAGGTTTGCATCCTGTCAATACCTGTTTGTTTCATATACTGTGTCCCATTTACACTGACTACAGTGCTGCCAATAAAATGACTTCAATTATTGCCCCAAACTCTCTACTTGAGTTGGCTATTTCACAATAATATTTATCAGAAATAATTTCATTTCAGTCTTTTGATATGAGCACACAAAGCTTATGAGACTTATTCATTATAACTATTGTAGCAAATAGGTTTTCTCTTGACAATAACATAATACTGCGTAAGATTTATCCTTATATTACTGCCTCTAGTCTAAGAAGTTATCAAAAATTAACCCCAACCTATTCCTGTTTTTCCCCCCTCAAAGACAATAATGCAACATCTACATAATATAAAATGTAAAATGTGAGCAAAATCGGTTGAATATAGTTTCCAAGTTATGAATTTTTTAAAAAGTCATATTTTAAAATTTTGTTTCTCAAGAACTATTCAAGAAATTTGTTAAAAAATCTTGTGTTTTGTCATTCAAATTAACATAGTTTAAAATAGTTCGGAAATTCGTATGATTTAAAATTCGATGTTTGTTCGATCCCTATTAAATAAAATTATAATAACACATGTTAAAAATTACTTTTATTTGGAATTATCTTTGGATAAATGAATTTGAGATATTGTAATATTTTTGAGTAATAAATATTTTTGAGATATTGTAAATATTTTTGATAATTATTTAAATATAATATTTTTGAGATATTGTAAAATATATATAATATTTTTGAGTAATATTTTTGAGTAATATATATATTTGTATATTTTAATATATTTTTGAGTAAATATTTAATATTTTTGTAAATATTTTTGAGATATTGTAAAATATGCAAAATTTGTAATTAACATTAAGGGACCCAAACTATCCATCTCTCTCTTGACTAAATTATCGGATTTAAAATTGTAAGTCCAGGGATAGAATTTATTAAATGAAAAATGTAAGTTAATTAGTGAGACTAGAGATTAGTGAGATCTTACATAATAAGTAAAAAAAAGTTTATATAGATGAACAATCAAAACAAAGTGCAATATTAAGATATCAAGGGGATGAATGACGTTTTAAATTTTTCTTGTTGATAAAATTGATCTAGTAATGGTATAATTAAAAATATATGAATGCTTTATTAATAATATATTTTAAATTATTCCGAAATAAATATTATAATCATCAATATAAATTTTCATCTGAATAGCATTCAATTTATACAATATTCTGTATCAAGCACAGAAACTTAGAAATTTAATGGCTTGGCTACTTCATGAAATCAGGTGCATGTACAATTGATATATTTCCCTTTACAACTTAGTTAATAAAAATTTTTAATGCATGATTTTTTTATAGTTTTAAATTTTTTGAAATATTTTTTTTAGATGATCTATCTCATTTGCCTTTAAGAAGGAAATTGTTTTAGATTCACCATTTTTCTGATAGTGTTTCTCTCTATCATCGGCAGATGGCAGCACCATAAGAATCGTTTATAACTTCCTGTGGATGATAGGCATTGATTTACTCTAATCGGAGCTGGGAAGTTTATTTTATGTATTTTTAATCAAAATTTAAAAAAAAAAAAAAAAAAAAGATTTTCTCAATGGTTTTAGTTATTTATGATGTGTTATGAAGGAAAAAGAAATGATTAAAAACTGCGAATAAAAATTAGAGTGATGTTGTTAGGTTAACGTAATCCATTTGGTTGTTGTGTCATAAAATAAAATTATTTCTGGATAAAATTCAGTTAAATTTCTATGTTATGTGAGGCTTAGGGAGTTCAATTAAAATAATATATTAGTATTTAAAATAAATAATAGTTTTTCTTAAATACATAATAATAAAACTCATATCTTTTTGCTTTGCAATGCAAGTCTGTTTCAAAAGCGAGACTTAACATATTTTTCATTAGTCCAAAAAAAAAAAAGAGATACAATTTTAATAACCTAACAAAACTTATCATTCAAGACTTAGTCTTCTAGTTATTCATACAAAATTTTATTCATTTAACTGTGCGAATTTAGATCGCAGTTCCGCGCCTAAACGATATTTGTATTTTTAAACGTAACGAATAAACTACATCGTTCTCTCTTTAAGAATACACAGTAAATAATTGAACGATTGGAACGAAATGAATTGATTTAAAACACAGTAAATAATTGCTTAAAAAATATTATTCTTCGGATTCTACATTTTCAACTGTGTTACAAACTACCCACTTAGCAAAACGAAATTATTTAACATTAGATCGATGCAGTATAATAACTGCCGTGCTAAAAAACGCTAGACTTCTGAATCCTATTTGCTAATATTATAAATAATATTGTACAAGATTAAATAAAATTCCATCTAACATTCGAATGTTTTAAATTATCATCTGTGTCATTACTTTTGGTTCGGAGCTATTATTTTTATGAAAGGGCACCTCATAATATTAATAAATAAATATTTATGAAAGAAAAGAATAAAAACTATTTCACAAAGTATATTTTTTTTACCCGTAGAATTTTATGTCAGAAAACGTAAGATAAATTACTGAAAGCCAATTCGAATCGCGAACGATTAACTGGAAACCTTTTTCCTTAACTGTTGTCAAGATAAGGAGCTAAGATAGTTCACATCGTTCACTGCTCCTCATTATTTCATGAAATCTTTTTTTAAAAGTAATTTAAAGATACCAAGATTGCTTGCAAACGTAGTTGCAAGTAAACAAGGCAGTTTCTGGAACTTTTGGATGCATCAAATGGTTGTAAAGACATGGAAAGCCTTTCTTTTATTATTTAAAAACAACAATAAATGAAGTGAAAGTACTAAATCCAAATATTGCTTTTGGGAATAAGGAATAAAAATTTATCTTTATCAATCAAATAAAAATACAAATACGTATTTTTTTTCTTGTATTTTACCTTTTTTTGATAAACACAAAATGTTCATATCAAGCAATGAAGTTAAAAATATATTTCCATATTGACTTCATAATTGGATGAAAGTTTATTCTATAGCGTGTTTGTCTTAGAATAAAATAATTATGTAGTTAAATAGCTATAGTATTTGTCATGATTTTTTTGAATCTTAATATTTGCTGACTCAAGAATTTGAAAATTCAGAAAAAAAGTGCAATAATTTATTCTGCAACTTTGTAATACATTTTCAGAATTTTTGAAAATGGGGATTGGAAGGTATGCTATGTGCATTGATAAATCTGTCTAACTTTTAAAGTCGGAAAACTTTCATAGAAGTACTTAAGTGTAATGAAAACAGCTGAATGTAATTAAAATTTCGTTAGTTTTTACCGATTTTTATTTTTAGTGTGATACAAAACAAAAATTGTTTTTTTTTAATGCAAAAATATCAGAAATATTTACTCTTATATTGTAAATATAAGTCTTCGGTGTTTATACACTCCTTAATTTTTTTCCCTCGCATTTCTCTCAAATTTTTTTTCTTTATTCTCCACCTTTTTTTTTTTTTTTTTTTTTTTTTTTTTTTTTTTTNTTTTTTTTTTTTTTTTTTTTTTGCTCGTTGCATCTGTTATCTTCTCTCAAATATGATAAAGGTCACTATTCATTGTTCTTATAAATAGATTTGTCATAAAATGTTTTCTAATGGTTGAATTGCATCGAAGTATAAGTATATGATATCTGATGCATTTTGTTTTTAATTTTGATGTTAAACATAATGCTTGTGAGCTTTTATAGTATCAGTATTAAGTTTATTATTTTAATTTTAAATTATTCAGTTGAAATTAGAGATAAGAAATGTATATATTTTTATCTTCATCGTGTTTAAAATAATACAGTAGTAAAAATATTAATAATAGTAAAAAATTTCTTTGTCTAACTTTAATAATAAAAATAAAAAAAATCAAATCAAAGAAATAACAGAATCTTGTTTAAATTTTTATCTGAAAGCTCCGCGGATTGCGAACACATGCTGCCGATTAATCGTTTTTGAACGGTTTTCGGACTAACAAGGCAAGAAAACTTGATTCAGTTTGCTCTAAATTGTGATTGTTAAAATTTTATTTCTTGAATAAAAGCCCTTATATAAGTATATTTATTTTAGCTTTTCAAACAAAATTATTTTGTTGTAAAGCATTAGAAATTCTCCATGAAAACAAGCAGGCGTTACGCAAAAATATCATTAAAAATCCTCCTTTATGAAAGAATTAGGGTTAAATAAATATAATCCTACACATTTCATGGGCAATGTCTTCACAAATATACTGTTGTTGACGTATGCCTGTCTAGGCAGAAGGAGTGCGATTGTTCTTGTTTTCCAGTGGCGCCATCTATTGCCAAGAATTCTGCCACACCATACGTCGCACCCGTTTATAGGGCGGATCCATTTATTCATCCACAGATCGTAATTTTGACCTGAAACAGAGAACGATCGATCTCCAATGCAGTACTCCCATGATTTGTTATGGGAACATGGAGGACTTTTGCGACTCGGCAGATTTAACGTGTATCAGTCATTTTACTACACGGGAAGTCTTCGGCCCGCGGCGTTCGAACCTACGAACTCTCGGACATGGGCCCAGTGCCCTACCGTCCAGTCTTTCCCGGTCCCCACAAATATACTAAAAAAATATAAAGATTAAGCAAAACAGTAAGAGAGAGCGGAACGTATAAACTTTAAAGCTCATATGCTCAAATAAAATGTTACTTATCTGAAGCTCATATGCTCAAATTCAGTAAAATGTTACTTATCTGAAGCTCAAATTCAGTAAAATGTTACTTATCTGATTCTTCCACTAAGCTCTTCTTATGTGCAAAGTGCTTAATATATTTTATAACGTTTTTCAGATACTTTTTACTCGTTGAAAAAAAAAACATCAAACTGCTTTAAAAGTGAGTATGAAATTGCTAGTT